ACACACACACACACACACACACTTTTCTTCATCTAAGGGCCCATATTGATTTCATTGCTTCACTTTTATTAGTGGAAAATCCTGCAAAGAACAGTAGAGATAATGTTGGGTTTCTTTCAACTTTTTCATGTAGAGACAAGTTTTGCCTAATTTTTTCTTTGGATATTAATCAAGAAAACACTAAAAAAAATATGGGATCTGGGCCTTGCCCATGCCATATAATTTAAGACAGCTAATAAATTATTTTATGATATGACCAGAAAAAACATCAAATTATTTCATAAAATACTTTGTCATGACAGAGTGCAATTTAAAATTCCTTTTATGGGACGATTATTCAATTTGTGGGGCATTTATGGAAGTTAGCAAGTCACTTGCACCTCATAATTCAAGTGTAACAAAGTCAAATTTGAATCACATGTTACTAAAAATAATATTTTCACTAGTTTCACTTCCAATTTAGTATTCAGCACGTATAATCATACCTAACACACAGCCTACCTACAGATAATGATTTTCAACGTATTAGATATTTCTACATTTACAAAAATTTAATTTTTGTCCATTATCTCAATTGTCAATTTAGTTTATACATGACATAATGATTATTATAATACTCGTTAACTCTTTAGTAGGTAGAAGGTGTAATAGAAACAAGTTTAACTTATTTTTCTTCATGGCTACAAAAAGTATTAAGGGTCTGTTCGGTAGGGATTTTGAGAATTTATTTTTTGATTGTTGAGAGAAAAGTGGGGATCACCTGCGAGGGAAGAAATCAAAAATTACGGTTGAAATAGTGAAATATCGGTCAAAAAAATAATTTTTTGGGGTGAAAAATCACTTCCAAACTGGTCCTAAATAATTTACATTTGAGCTTAGCATAACTTGCTTTTATTATTGTGTGGTATTGTTCACTCGACCTTGTCAAACATCCTATCAAAGCTAAATAGTATAATTGAGTGAAATCTTATATAAAATCAAGATAGTAGATATGCATCTGTATTATTCGTGGTTGAATTTTAAAAGGTCTTTTTTAATTTCAAGAAAAGCAAAGAAATCTACGCTGACAGACGCAAAAATCAGATTGTCTATTGGTCAAATTAAGATACAATGTCACCTCCAACAAAAATTAAGATACAACATCAAATTAAGATATATCATCGTGTGAAGTGACTGGACAACCATACTAGGAATAAAAAAATTTAGCTTTAAGGCTGCTAAAATAATGAATATTGTAACAATCCAAAAGTAAAAGAACAAACAGAATACCATGAAAGTGAGATTTAGATTTCTATAGCAACTTGTCTTTATAATAACCACCCTCTTGTCATTCCAATTCAACATTTTGTTCGATTTTGATTGCCTTTTAATTCTATAATTCGCATTAAGTTTATTGCTAGATCAACGGACTGAAGATAATAAGCCACCCTCTCGTCAAGTCGATTCAACATTTTGTTCAGGTTTTGATTGTGTCCTCGATTCTATAATTCGAATTAAGCTTATTGTTAATTTAATGGAAGATATCAGCACGTGTAGACTACCTCGAGAAGTAAACCCAAAGCTCAACAGACTGAGAGCTGCGTGGTTGAGCTTAAAGTAAATAAGTAAGGAATGATGCTACGGGAACAGGATGAATTGAGAAATTTGCCCTGTACCTGAGGCAATTTCCATAAGTAAGTTGCATTCCAAATAAGTAACTTATTTGACTTAAAAGAAAAAAAAAAGTAATATATTTGTAACCATGAGGCAATGACCAAAACATATTGCATAAGAATGTGGTCTTTGTTATGCATATATCTGTCTGGATATATATATATACCGAAAATGCGTTATCGAATTGGTGCCCTACTCTTACATGAGCGTGGGCCCCGCGTGCATTTAAAAATTCTGGCTTGTGGGACCCGCCCTCCAATTGTGAGTGTAAGCAAAAAATTCGGTAAAAATGTGTAGTAAATGTAGCATTGTCTATATTTGTCTCTTGTAAACAAAATAATCACCTGTAACAGTGTTAGATTCATATGGGTTTATGTGGGGGCCACTGGCCCCGTAGATTATTTTATTTTTTTATGTTTTCCTAACGTGTGGTCATCTATCTTCAACAACTTGAATGAACCCTCTGTGTTTGCTTTGGGAATAGCATAGAAGATATAAGCAAATTAAAGTTCAATTCGTAAAAATACATATAATTTAATTTTGACCCACAATAAAAAATGTTTGATTCTGCAATTGCCAATTCTCGAGCATGCATTTGCGAGGGATAGAGTAGTAGTTAATTACTTAACGATTTCAGTCGAGTGAAATTATGAGCAACTTGTGTGATACCTAAATTGTATTTACCAATAGTTTTCTAGATCCAAGGAAGAGGCGAAGAAACTGAAGATGAAGATATATAAGTGACCATTTCTATTTCAGAATAATAGGATTATGAAACTAATGCTCTCTGAAAAAGTAAAGGATGAAGTTGTTACTATTGCTTAGTATTAAGATTTGGATTCCATCTTAAAATATCAACCTTATTAAGGGAAAACAATTTTAAGTTTAATGGACTCTAATACTATATTAAGATCTGAAGATCCACCATAAAAGATCAACCTTATTAAGAAGAGTAGCACAAATTTTCATATATTGGTCTACATTTTCGTTTTTATTTGATATAAAATTTTATCTTTTAATACGTCACTGCAAGATGGTGGTTTGTTTGAGCAAACCAATCTTAAAATTCATGTGCTCATTTTTCGAGTTTTAATTGGATCAAATTGCTCATTGAAGATTAATGGGCTCTGATACCATATTAAGATTTGAGATTCTATATTAAAAGATCAACCTTATTGAGATATATATTTTCATCTTTATTTGACGTGAGATTTTATCGCTTAATTCGTAGTTAAGGATATAATTGATGCTATTTAACCGTGGGAGGATGAAATTGATGCTTTCAAATAGTTGAAGGGCAAATTTGTATCCATTGAAAAGTCAGAGGATAATATTGATGATTTTGAATAGTTGGATGTAACTGCATCTGTTGAATAATTAGAGGTATTGTTTTGAATATTTTGTAGATTGAACTGATGGTAGTCAAGTTAAAGGACGAAATTGTATCTATAAATAATAAATGGACTAAGTTCCTTCTAGAACAGTGGAAGGACTACATCGATGCTCTTGAATAGTTAAGGATGAAATTGAAGCTATCAAATAGTTGAAGGATGAAACTGAATCTACTAAATTACCCGAGGCTGAAATTGAATATGTTGAACAATCAAAATATGGTATCGACGCTTTTGAATTGTCAAAGGCTGACACTAAAGTTAGGGCTGGGCATAACCCAATCAAAACTGCTCAACCCGACCAACCCAAACCAAATCGATCGATTTGGGTTAGTTTTTTAAGTTCAATTGGATTGGATTGGAAAATTGAATTTAAGGTTGGTTTGGTTTGGGTTGGGTCTTGGGTTATGGATTAAAACCCAACCCTACCCAACCGATCAAATAAAAAATTAATATCTAAAATAGGAAAAAAATTTAAATAGACGCAATGGTAAAGATAAGAGAATGACATATAATTTATAAACGTCCATTTTCTTCACATAGATCAATTCACATGAACACTATGTACAAATGCAATGTTGTTTGACGATGAAGTAAAAATTAAAGACACGATGATGAAATAAATGAATTCCAAAAAATTGTAAAAAAAAAAAAAAAAAGAATACGCTTCATAAAATTTAAATTTATTTATACATTATTTTAAGAAAGAATTCCTTATATATGCGTTTAAAAAACGGAAGTTTTTAAGTAATTTCCAACTCTAAAAAATTATCCAATTTTAACAAATGAATTGGATCCAACTTTAAGTGTGCCAAAGCTTAAACCGATCAATCCAACCCAAACCAACCCAAACTTGATCAGTTTGGGTCGAGTTGGGTTGGGTTTAAATCAATAATTGGATTGGGTTGGGTTGAATTTCAATCAAACCGACTATGTTGGGTTGGAAAAAAAACTGAACCAACCTAACCCACCCCTAACTGAAGCTAATTAGCCGAAGGATGAAACTCAAGCTATAAAATAGATTGACTAAATTCACGTCCTTGACTAGTGGAGGGACTATATCGATTCTCTTGAAAAGAAGAATATGAAATTCTAGCAATTTTATAATTGGAAGATGAAATGTGAGTTGTTAAATAGTTTAAGGATGAAAGTGAATCTGTTGAACTGTCAATGGTCAAAAGTGAAGCTATCAAATAGTTGTAGGACAAAATTTTATCTTTTAGATTGTTGAAGGCCAAAATCGCCAATTTTAGTTGAAGGATGAAATTGTATATGTTGAACAGTCAGGGGACTAGAGTGATATTTTTTAATAGTTAAAGGATGACAATGAATCCAAAACATAGCTAATGACTAAATTCACGTTCTTGAATAGTTAGAAGGCTTTAGCAATGCTCTTGAAACGATCTCTTGAAACGATGAAGTATGAAATGGACACTTTTGAGTAGTTGTGGGTCACA